TTCTCTTATGGCTCTTGTTGCAACTTTTCCCCTTTTTCGCCTGGTAGTTGTTTCTTGGCTCTCCTCTCCGGATGATTCATCTGAGCCAGTACTACTCTCTGTTTCTGTTGGGCCTGTTAGTCTGGAGCTACCCGGCCGACTCGCCCCGGTAGCCCCGTGCTGGGTAGTCCCAGCCACACCAGCCCCGCTGTCACCCCCTGGACCCGCACCGGAGTGAGCGGTGCAGCCCTGGTGACCCGGCTGGGCATTGCCACCTGTGAGAGTGACAGCAGAGCCGCTCTCCGGCCGAGTGGCTCCATTCCCCGGCCCCACCCCCGGGGACCGGCGCCGCAAGCACCACTCCCACTCTTCCCCCGGTACCGGCCCCGGGGGCGGTGCGATCGACTGCGGGGGCCGCCCCTGCCCGCCCCCGGGCTCCTCCTCCAAGGGAGGGGCGGCAGGTTGGAGGCCCTGCCCACTGGGCCCCAACGGAGGAGGGGAGGGAGGGGAAGGCGGCAGGGGAGGCCAGAGCGAACCCGGTATCTCTGATTTCACTGAAACCCCAGGCCCCAGCCCCGGTGGGGGTGGCAGGAGTCCATCCCCTTTCAGCCCCCGTTCCCCCTCCAATTCATTCGGCAGAGACGAGTCCGAGACCCCGCCCCCGCTGGCGGTCGCTCCCGGCGACGGCTGCACGGGAGAAAAGGAAGGTGGGAGGGGTGGAGGCAGACCCAACATAGCCACAGGTGGTCCCCCCGCTCTTAGAAGAGGCGAGATTAAATCCATTTCTACTTCTCTTTCTTTCCAGTCAAGATTGATCTTCTCCTTTTCATCCTCTTTCTTTTTTTTCCTTAGAACCATCACCTGACAATTTTTCTCGGGTCTCTGTAGTCTTTCATTACGTGCTAGAACTCTGAAGAATTTGGCATATTCAATCTCAATTCGACAATTGTTTTGGTTTAAGTGGGACAGCAGATTTGATATCAATTCCTCATTTAGGCTGCCATGTRTGGGCCATTTTTGGTCTTTTTCTAACCTGTATGTGGGCCATATCCACTGGGATAGTCGAATTAATTCTTTCTTTTTGAGAAATAAATCCTCACCTGCTAGTATATGCCAATTATTTAGCACTAACTTCAGAGGGGAGTTTTTAGGAATTGGAGGCATGTGAGGGTGAGTCTCTTCACGTGARAGGATACATCCCATGCTTATGCCTATAAACAGGGAAAAAACACAAGAGTAAAACAGGAAAGACAAGGAACAGCGGGGATTTGAACTCTCAATTTACCAATTTTCCGAGTTCGTGGCTGCTCCTGCACTGCAGCGCTACCAGCCTGTTTTGAACCCTAATCACAACACCGCTTCTCATTCACTCACTCACGTGCCTCTGCTTCTGGGTTCTTGGACTCCGGCACCACTTGGACTGCAGTGGCCACCCCCAAAAGCCAATCGGGCGGGGAGCTGGATCTTACTCAGTTCAGAGGATTCTCAGGAGCTTCCTCGTCCCTTTCTGGGGTTGCCAGAACTGATGCCTATCAATCAGGCTAATCTGAAACAGAGACCAGACAAAYTCAAGAGAATGAGAATAGACAACTTTTATACAGGCCTAACAGGCACCCTGGTACATTAGGGCAGACAAAAGCCTCCTCCTGACGCTACACCCAAAATGGACACCGAGTCACGAGATCTTCACCTTTTATAAGTTCTACCTTATTAACATACTGAGTCTTAGTTCTCCAATGATCTTCAGGTCATTATGTCAGCCACCCCAAACTTGCTCCCTCCCCATCTTGCTGTAGTTTACATATTTTGGGGCTCTGAGGCAGTGAGGTGTCCTTGGATTCAGGCTCAGAGAAGGATTGTTTTGTCTAAAGATGGGAGAATGGTAGTTTTAGTGTTGTACTAGAGAACAGCAGAATACAGATGCATGAAAATATAGAAACTAAAAATCCTAAGGCATCACTGTAGAGAAGCACCTTACAAGGTATAAAATACTAACTTTAGATTTGACCATGTGGCTGATAGCAGGACTGGCTTTGGCATCTCATGCAGCAAGTGTGAGCATGATGCTGCTACACCAGTCAGATGCCAGTCAGCCCAGCACACTTSTGCCTTTTAGTAGGAGGTACGCAGAAGATGGCAAGACTGCTAAAATCCTTAATTTCAAGTACAGATACCATGTTTTCTGGCAGTAAGGATTTGAAATGCATTTAAACTTGAGTTCTTTAAATGACAAAGGCAGCTTTGTCATTTTAAACTGATGACCCCTAAAGCCTGGAGCATTTCTGTCCTCAAAGCTGAATAAAATGATCTCCATCTTCTTTAGCAATAGTGCAACRCACTTACTGACACTCATGACTCAAGAGGAGATTCTTTTTCCTTGGTTCTCTTTTTACTGCTACACTAACTCCAGCAATACTGTATGAACATGAACCAGTACAACATCCTGTTCAAATAAAAACATAGCAATTGTGACTTCTGTTTATTTTTTTCCTTTTTTTTTTTTTTGTTCTGTTAGGTTCTCATATTTTACCACCACCCTTTGTATCAGAAATACCCCTTCCTGTGGCCAGGTAATAAAATGCCAGCACCATGGGCTAATACAACCAATGTGCACAAACTGCTACAGTTCCTGGAGACCACACTTGGGGAGCGAAGTCGTTATGGGACTTTCCATGTATCTCAAGCAATTCTCACACCTCGAGTGAAAACAATTGCACGGCATCTAGTTCGTGGTCTGAAGAACACACTTGTTCACAGGTAAGGCCTTGTCTTGGTTTCTCAGCTCTTTATTTAATATGTCTCATGTTGAAAGAGGCACTGAACAAGCAAGAAACTAGGAAATGTTTGCTTAGGCTTGGTGAAAGCATGCAGTTYTGCTCAGTATTGTTCATGACAGATACTTATAATCCTTAAAATAAGGAATTAYTGAAAACAATAAAGTAATAGGGTGTATATGTGTTTCCTGGTAACTGGAACTTTTTCTGAATTTGATCTGATTTTGTGAAATGTGGGATGCATGTGTGCCTTCAAACCAATAATTCATTTCAAAATTGAAGTTGAATTTGGGTAGGGGGGGAGGGGGTGGAAAGCTTGTGCCACAGAAGAAAACTGCAAATTTATGGAATCAGTTCTGCCTTTGTCCATACAAATCTGTCTCAGTAATGGCCAGAGATGTATGACCTGGAGCAGTATTTTATCTYGTATTTTTAGGGAAGGAGGGGTGTTAGCAAAAATTAGATTAACCATTTGATTTTTTTTCAATACCACTGACCATTGTATAATTAATTTGCCTATGAGTGTTTTGCTTTGATTAGCACAGAGTGCCAGCAAATTTTAATAGCATTAACAGCATGACCAGGGTAGTTCCATATGACTGATTTTATGGAATTATCTCTTGCAGCCTGTTYGCTAAAAATTACCAGAACTGTAAAAGTCCTCTTGGGATCTGGTGTCCTGGCTCACTATTTAATATTGCCTGATGTTACTAACAGTTCATCTTGCCATAATGATAATGAGTTCTAAATTACATTGGTGTAGGTGGTCACAACTGGTCTAATGTGATCAGCAACTTAGCTTAATACTGAGCMATGAGATAACACATTTTCAGCAGCCAGTTCATGTTGCTATTGGGAGAATCACGGATCACTTTAGAAGTATTTATAGTATTGCCATTTTGAAGCTAAAATCAATAGAATTTAGCTTCTTAAAAATCCTTTCTAAAAATAGCAGATGTTTTGCTTTTGCAATTACAAAAGTTTGTTGAAAGAGAGCAGTCCTGCTGGGAAGGAGCTGGATGCTGGTGGATGAGAGGCTGGGCATGACCCAGCAAAGTGCACTCAACAGCCCAGGAAGGCAAACAGAGCCTGAGCTGCATCCAAAGCATCGTGGCCAGCAGGGTAAGGAGGGGATTCTTCCCCTCTGCTCCGCTCTGGTGAGAYCCCACCGGGAGCACTGCATCCAGYTCTGGGCTCCTCAGCACAGGAACAACAYRCAAGTTCAGARYAGGRCCACCAAGATGATTAGAGGAATGGAGCATCTCTTCTCTAAGGAGAAACTAAGATAGTTTGTTCAGCCTGGAAAAGAGAAGGCTTTGGGATGATTTAACTGCAGCCTTCCAGTCCCTGAAGGGAGCCTRCAAAAAAGGTGSAGAGAGGCTTTTTACAAAGGCWGGACAAGGGATAATTCTRTTTCAAAMTGGAAGGGGGCAGGCTTAGATTGGWTATTGGAAGAAGTTCTTTACTGTGAGAATGGTGAAGTTTTGAAACAGGTTGGCCAGAGAAACTGTGGGTGTCCCATCCCTGGAAAGTGTTCAARGCCACGTTGGATCRGGCTCTGAGCAACCTGATCCAGTGTAAGGTGGCCTTGCYCAAGGCAAGGGGTGTTGGAATGAGATGATATTCAAGGTCCTTTCCAACCCAGGCCATTCAATGATTGTGTGAATAATTTCAGGTCAGGTACAAATCACGGAATTTTCAGTTCCCTTTCCTAAAGTAATGTTTACAAGCAGTGGGCCAAGCACGGTTAAAGCCAGCTCCTGTTCGGGGTTGGTGTCGGTGGCCGCGGCCGCGCTCGGCACCAGGTGGCGCTGGGGACCCGCACCAGGGGCCGTGCGGGACAGGAGAGCCAAGGCCGCGCACAATTCCCGCTCCAGAACCAGGAAAGGATCGTCGCGTTTCATGGAACAGGCGGGCAGCTTTGTTTCAAGGGATTCGTGGCACAGATCGGGCTGTAAGCCACTGTTAAGTAGAAACCTGCCTTCAGTCCATCCCTTTCCCTCATCCTCACCGCTTGATTGCTAGTAAACCGAAAGTTTCAAATAGGTGCTGCTGTTTGCATAAGCATGATAGCTTGTGTGTATTTGCACAAGGTAGCTCATATGTAAATCTGTCTTTGTTTATGCGTGCCTTCTTGTATGGAAATTTTGCCCTGAATATGAATATTTAAGTGTTCTTGAGCTCTTGCTACATGAGAAATGTGCAGCAGTTGCACTTAGCTGGCTGAAGTATGGTAGTGTCCCCTGGCAGTAATTATGCCTTCACTAATGGTTCTTGATAAGATAATTTTATTTTCCTGATGCAGCAGTGGTGGAGTGTTTTTAAGGTTTTTGGTTTTGCTTTTTTTTCCCTTCATCATCCTGTTAGTATATTCATTTGCCTACCATCTTCTCAAATAATGTATACATATATACAACACTAAATGGCTAAATAYGTTAACATTATTTAGATTGTGTCTAACTGCTGAAAAGCCTAGTGTTTGCATGTTAGAGTGCAGAAAAGCTCGTGCAGACTCCTGACTTTCACTGTCTCCGAGAAATGACTTAGAAATTCTACCATGGGGAGAAATTTCAACTCTATTTAATCTAGTACCTCACACACCTCTTCTTTCTCTGGTTATAGTGATGTACAGAAGGATGTTCAACCCCCTATGGAGCTGGCAGCTTCATTCTAGGTTTGGTTTCCCTGACCCCATTGCTCTGGGTGGGTGTGGAGGCTGAAGAGAGTGGTAGAAATGCAGTGCACTACCTGCAACAACTTTTTTTCCTGCCCACCCCGGGGCAGAGAAAGGCAGAGAATATCTTGGGCCAGGTATAACCTTGCTTTGTGTTACACTGAAGTGTGCTGTGAACATGAGCATTTGACTTAATGTGTGAATTAATGAGCATTTGACTTAATGTGCTTGGGTGAAAACAAACCAGATGGACAGAATTGCAGTGGAATGTTAAATCCTGAAGAACAGACTGTCCACTGAATATGAGGAGTTTTGTAGCCTGCTAGTTTGGGTTGATGGCTGACCAATATTTCTATTTGATAGCTAATGATCCCTGGAGTGTTAAGCATTTGTCTCATCAGCCAGTCACATTTAGGGTGATAGTCAGGACCTGATTACAAATATGAGATAATRTATTTTGTAAACAGCATGCTGTGTTTGAAATGAGTACAGTATGTATAGAGAGGTGCCTCTTTTAAAATGTTTCATTTTCTCTATTTCGATTTTTTTTAGGAACCTGCCCATGATTCTGAACTGGGTGAAAGCACAGAAGCCTGGTGTTATGGGTGTTAACATAATTACWTCAGACTTTGTGGAGCTGGTTGACTTTGCTGCTACAGTTATTGCATTGAACGACCTTCTTTTAGAAGACGATGAATCTGCAACTAAATCCTGATTGCTGTGTCCCACTTGTGCTCCTTAGGAGACATCTTCGAACTATGTGAGATGTTTTACTTGTTAAGTGAAACATATTGTAATCTCTATGAAAAAGTTTCCTAGAGGAAACGTGGTTAAACATCATGCAGAGCCGGGTCCCTTCTCCTGGTGACATGAGGACCCGAGTGAAGCGGGTGCTGTGTGAGTGCTGCTGTGTCTGTCTGTGTGTGCTCTGTGTTTGGCTGAGCTGTGCACACATCTGCTGCCACAGGGGCTGGCCTCTGGAGCAAATGTACCCCATTGTGCTGCACATCTCCCTGGTGACCAGGCTCTCTGTGCCCTGTGTGTGCATCCTGCCTGCTTCCCATGGCCAGGGCTCACTCCAGGGATCACTGCTGACCCCATGGCAGCGTGACCAGGCCAGCTGGGGTGGCATTGTTCTTGGGCCACCTGTCAAAAACGAGTGGATTTGAGATCGCTTAAAAAWTTACCAACAAGGGTATGAGCAAAGGGCAGATTTAACGTTAAGCGACAAAGCACAAYAGATTTGTTSRCAARATTCACTCTRCTTACAGGACAGCTAAGCCATAACAAAGGAAAGCAAGCAACAGCAAAACCAAACAAAATCCAGGCAATCAAAACARAAATGAATTGAGAACTACCWAGGGGGGTGGGCATGTGTGTATGGAAATGTGTGTATGAGTATGAAAAGACAGTGCAGACAAAGATAAAAAGGAATATGGCCTAAAAGCTTAACAGCACTTAAACATAATGGTACTTTAACTTAACTTATACCTTAAGTCTTGTAATTTAACGTAGGGAAAACACTTAACTTATAYCCAACTTAACTTAAAACTTAATTTATAGCTTAACCTTAACAGTCTAACAGAGAAATAACACTTAACAGCATTTAACCTAAATTATAACTTCAGTGCGGAATTTAGCAACTTAACAAAAGGACACTTAGCAACACTTAACTCATGTTTTACAATTTAGTGAAAGAGCAACATTTAGCTGCATTTGAGTAAATTTATACCCATAACCTTTCTTTCAGGCCTGGATACATAGATATCTGAGGTACTTAAACATCTAAGAAAGCAGTATWTCTCTCAAATTTGCTGCAGCAWGTGTGCAGGAGCAAGCACCCAGACAGAGACAGTCAGTGCAAGCAAGGTACCTGTGGAAAATTCCCCTCAGAGGTYAGTGAAATACTCACTTAGGATGTTTCTGCATCTCCTGACGGGTGAAGATCGGCCCGTGGTGTTTCAGCAGTTCTCCAGGTATTGCACCCCTGAGGGTTCGCTGGCTCCGGGGGCCCTGCTCGGAGGGAGGTTGTCAGTCACAGCCCACTGCGGTCCAGGAGAGCTCAAAGGGCCCCATCTTGGGCYGCTGTTTATAGGGCCACAGGAATTCAGCTTTAGTCATAACAAAGCTTCATCCTGACCACAGTTTGGGTTAGCACTTTCTTTGAAAGTGTGAGAACAGGAATCTTTTGCCATTCAGGCAAGAGGAATATTTTCCAAGGCTGGTCACGAGGAAAACAGAAGATTGTTAGGAGTTCCTGGGAGCAGACAGTGTTTCTGATAAGCTCAGAAGGAGCTGAGCCCAGGTGGTGTTTTCAAGGCCAAGGCCTAACAAGCATTTCTCAGATCACACTGCAGCTTGGAAGGGGAAGTGTTCATTGTGCTGTTTTAGACACTACCTCTGACCTGCTTGAAGAGACAATACTGCCATTCTTCAGGGGGAAGCTGTTAACACTGTCTTAAATAYCCAAACTGTCCTTTGGGCCTGCAAGGTGAAGGCTTGGCACAATCTCCTTTGGAGTCCAAACTCCTCTTTATTTTACTTTAATACTTCACTATATTTATTGCAATTGTGTTTAAGTGTGTTCCTTTTGGCATTAAGGTGGAGAATATTTCAGTCTTCAAATTTTGAGGATTATAATTCAAGTTTGAATTCCTGTTTCCTGGGACAGTTAGGAAACACTGATTTTCCTGAATGCCTGAAACATTTAGGAGACTGTAGCATAACCTTTCTCATTTACATGTTGGTCACTTGGGTTTTTTAATCCAGCAACTTTTCTTTGGAGGAAGTCTCTCACCCAGTCTTTCTCTGGAATGAGGTGGRCCAAGKGGGGTGTTGCAYGATATTCAAAGAGCTGGAGCTRACAGGGACTGCACAAAGCCCAAATRTTGAATCATTGTGATCTGTGATGGGACAATAAATTCTGCAATCAGACCTGAAAGTTGTGCTTGTAGACAGAGCCACGGCTATTAAGGGAGAAATTTCTCYGGCCTTCACCTGCTTGTGACAAAGTAAGCAATAATCACACACACACAGGCTGGTGTCAATGCTGCTTCTTTGTGTAGTCATACTCATTTTTGTGCTGGTTCACAGTGAAATGTGACCATGTGTTTGAGCCAATGCAATCATATGTTGGTACTTATCAGCACTTATTTACTAGCTGAGAGTATCCTATCATCTGATTTATCTTTGTTGTTTTTTTTTTAAAAAAAAAAGCACAAAAGGGACTGATTAGCAAGTATATCCCTGCTCAATCATCTTCCTAAAGCAACTCTTGGTTGCAACTCTAAAGCACTAATTATTCACTGATTATGAATTTGTATTTATCAATAAGCTTATTTATTATAGAATGGATTGTCTTTGTAGGTATTTCATTCAAAAGGAAAATTAATCTCCAGATTTATTATTTATTTTGTGGTTTTATCCTGTATCTGTTATCATGTTCTGACAGCTGTGAAAAATATCAACCTTCTTTGTTTGCTTGTCACARCTCAGGAGAAGTTACTTTGCAAGCCTTCCATGTGAACCTTGGCTGAGTTCTGAGTGGACTGTAATCTGATTTATCTGTTGTTTGCATGGCTTTCATTAGAGTTCCTTGAATTTTTTAACTGAATCCTTTTTTGAAGGGAGTTGGGGTAGGGGAAGTGCCTGTTACTCACTGTTCTTCTCCTTTCCACTTGTGCTTCAGTTATAAGGAACAAGTAATAAAAATCAGAGTTTGGGAACTATGCTCAAATTTCTAGTTTAATGCTTCCTTTGAAAACTGCAGCAGAAGGTTTTTCTTATTTTTGGCATTTTTTTCTTATTGATGAAACTGTCAGAACAGTACTTTTCAGTCTGCAAGTTTATTTTATATATCTGGATCTTACTTAGCTGAATTTTGTATTATTTCCTTTAGTACTCTACTCATATCCCCTACTAAAACTCCATGAAGGTGTTACCCATGTGTGGTTTCGGTTTCAGTGGTTTTCTTCTGCAAATTGGCTTAGAGCTCAGAGCTCAGTTGGGTAGAGCATGGTGTTACAAACACCAAGGATGTGGGTTTGGTCTCTGTATGGGCTATTCACTTAAGAGCTGAACTCCTGACCCCAATGGGTCCCTTCCAACTCAGAATATTCTGTGCTTCTGTAACTTGGCTTGAATGCCTTTGCCGGGTTCTATGCAGAACTGGAAGACAAAGCAAGGTGAAGTGATTATGATGTTTGCATTTGACCCTTAATATATTTTGTACTGTATATATCTGCCTCAAAAGAGATTTATCGGGCTTAACCAATATTTATATTTTTTATTGTGTGTGCACAGTAATGGCTGTGTCATTAGTGCTTCTGCTGTATTTATTTGAATAGAGATGGGATGGGCTCAGGGCTTTGGTTAGACATTTTTTAGTGCAGACTCAGAAGTTTCACTAACATACTTGCTGCTGGCTCTTGCTTCTTGAAATAGAAAATGACATGCTGGGTGTTAAGAGTGTTAGCAGAGGAAAAAGAGAAAAATAGCTTTAGGATTAATGGTTAAGTATGTCTGGGGAGAAGACAACATTTCTGTAAGTTTGGCCTGTCACAAGAGACTTGTGTGTCATTTCAGAGCAGTGCTTGGTGTTGTGCTTCTAATGAAAGGAACCTGACAGTCTCAAATGATGAGCTGGGCAATTGGCAGGTAACACCTGTCTGTGACAGGACATCTCCCTTGGGTTCTCTGGGCAACATTCACGGTGTTTAGAACTGGTCCTAGGGTAATCCTAAACCATCCTAAGCAATATGAACTACCTTTCTTCTGTTACACAGAGCAAAGCTATCCATATAATAGGCTTATCTCTCTGACTCAATACCAAAACATATCCAAACTTCCTCATGCTTTGCAAAACGGTCATCTAGGCATGGACTTTGGGCTGTGGACTCTATTTTCCAGCATTATAAAATTAAAAGGTGAGCTGGACAGGAAGGGAGATCAAGGAAGTAGGGCATCCAGGAGTTTGCATCCAGTGCCCACAGGTGTGGCAGTGCTTAGCCCAGTTGTGGGCAGCAGAGTGGAGCAGGTCTGGCAGGTGAGTGGCTGCACTGCAGCTCACACTGAGGCACTTGGCCAAGTCTGAGCAGTCTGCCCCTGAGATCAGCAAATAACAGCCTGCAAGGTCAGGATGTGTGAGCTTGAGGAGAAAAAAAGATGGGTATGAACACAGGAGAAGGCTGGGGCCTTCTTACTGTTGATGTAGACACACATCTGGTGTATACAGTGGTTTAGGCTTGTTGTATGTCCCCAAAGCAGTAGAGCTCACTTTTAAACAGTCAAGGTAGAAAACTCCCCCAGAAGACTTGTTCTGACCTCTTGACCATTTGGYTCTCCTGCTGGGACAGGAGAAGTCAGGAAACAAGCAGCTGCTCAAAGTAAAATACTTGCACTGTGTATACTTGAATAATTACMCAAATGGTTTGTTATTACAGATTCAGGTTAGTTATACACTGTTTTATGACAGTTGTTTCTCTTCCTGATGTACAGCCCCTGAATGCCAAGCACACTGGGGCCATTCCTCTTCTCAGGCTGATTGCTGCTATGTGCAATTCAAGGGCGTATTTGAGGCACAGTAGACCTCTGTGTGCAACCCTAATGGGAAATAGGGAGATGTTTGTTATGGAGCATCTAAAAGCTTTTAGCCTCCTACTGTGTCCTGTAGATKAAACAAAAAGGAGTTAGTACTAGATTTTGCAGGCTGACAATCTGTTGGCTTCTTACTTATGGCACTTGAAGATACAGCATTTGGAAATGAACACAGCATTGATGTACTTGATGCTCTTGGAGATCTTGTCCAACCTTAATAATTCTGTGATTCAGAGCAGAAATGGTGATTGCAAAAAGGCCCAYAGTCTGTTAAATGGCCTATTTGGAGGAAAGAATAATAAGGAAATGGTATCTTTGTTCCTAACATATGCTGGGTTTTGCTGTTGTTGGTACTGAATTARCTGAATGTTGGAGTTTAAAAAGCACCTGAACCATAAGGTTGAAGAAGCYTTTTTGAGCAGGGATTTTGGCTCAAACAGAAGTAGGGCTTTTGCCAAGATGYTTATCTATTCTCATCAGGTTACGCCTTTGGAAATAACTTTCTTTGCATACCTGTCTCAGGTATCAGAGTTCATTGCTGTATCATTTAGCAAACCAGGGTTTAGGWCTTAGATAGAGGACATGGAGATTTTGGTTTAGAATTGGGTTACCTATGGAAGTCTTGAGTGAGCATGTGTCACTTGAGGTTTACTTGAATATGCAGTATTTAATACGACGTCCATATGCTRTTTTAGTAGGACTTTCATCTTGACTTCAACATATTGTTACCAATCCCTAATGAAAACAAWTTTTTTGGTCAGAGGACCACTGTTTGGGACAAAACTTCAGGCAAATTTTAATGCTTTTTAAAGGACAGAGAAATTTTTCAATGGGGGTAGTAAAACTAACCCAAAATTTTATTTYGAATATAGATCAGGTTGAAATGAGTCCTTTTGGCAGTGGAAAACAAGATTTTATTTTTCTTCTTTTCTCTCTGACAAAATCTTATTCCAGTTTTTGGTTTTTAGCTCAACAGATGGGTAGAAGAACCAGAGCATATGGTGAAGAGCAAATAAATTTTATGCTAAGGATGTGTATGTAGGACTAACTGTGGTAAGATTAGAGTGATTTACTTAATGACACCTTTAATGGTAATCCTATTAGCTCTTTGGTTTMGGTGGTTAAATCAGTCTCTATTTTGTATTAAAAATAATCAGTCCCACTAATTCAATGCATCCATTCTGTTGAACTGTGTTTACTTCTGTATGCATATTTATTTCTCTACAAGTCTTATCAAGTAAACTTTTAATTGTAGGGACTGGAGTAGGAATGTCAGCTTTAGAAGTGTGTGCTGAATCTGATTATATTTTATATCCCTGAATATTTATGTATTGTGTTTGTCCATGTAAACCGTACTTCTCTTACCTTTTGTTACACCTGTGATATCATGTACATTGAACTGCAATGTATTCTTAATTTTGAAAGAAATGTTGATCTATKTACATTCTATATAAAAATAATTTAATGGTTCTTTGATTTTTCTCAATGTCAACTGTATTTTCCAGATGGATTTCTTTATTTATACTGTGGAAGGGGGCAGAGGGGGCCAGGTGAAGAGGAGTTACCAATTCTCAGGTTATATTTTGTGCAGTTTGCCTTCTTTTCGCAGTCTGTGCTTTACTCAYCTGTCTGATTCAGTTTTGTGTAACCAGAATACCTCATCTGAACTGCAGATAAATTTGGGGTTCACATCTGTTTCTTCTGCTTTATATCATTGGGGTTTTGAATCCTGAAAATAAAAGGTACAACTTGAACTAATCATCTTTGCTGTGTGTTCTGTACTGCTGGCTGTTTTGATACATGACAATTACATTCTGGGTCAACATCAGTAGAACTMAGTAACTTCTCTGATGCAGAATGGTGTCACTGAATGGTGACACTGAATGGTGTCACCCAATTCATTTGGGATTTTTTTTGAGGTGCTACATCTCGCTCCACTTGTGTCCCCTGAGTAGTCAGACCCAGAGAGCATCCTCATTTTTAGGATATGCTGACAACTTCTCAGTGAAAGTAGCAGTACAAAGTGAAGAGAAATCTGTGTGTGCTTGCACTTGTGTGCTCACACAGCTACATCTTTGCTGACTGCACTGGGATAAAAGCATGCATACATGGATCTGGTCCTATSTTGGAAGGCAAGTACAACTTCTGTGCAGTTTCTACTGCTGTAAAACAGTGGTAAAGCTCCTCAAGTAAAACACTTKCTTGATCAGGAAACAAAGCATCGACAATGATTCCTGGAGCCTGGGCTGACATCGAATGCGTGCAACCCAGTGAGATCAGACACACCCTTCTCTGAGGTTATTTTCAGCACTTCTGTCTTGAGAATGTGGGAGTACTGGGGATGGGGAAGAGAACAGGAGAATCAATGGCCCTGATTCCCTCGTGTTTTCAGTCAGTGGTGACTGAAGGGGAGCTATATGTAGATTTTTTTTTTTAAATCCTAAAGTTACAGCTGGGAATTCTGAGCTTAATCACTACCTGTTGTCTCAGACCTCGAAATTAGTGTTTGCCAGCCAAACCACATTAGYAGTGACTCACACAAAGCTAACCAGTGGTGTCTGCAATGTGCTGTAGGCAGGAAGGGTGCCCCTGGTTTTTTCAGAGTATACCTATGCTGCAGGAGTCTAATGTGACCAGCATAAGCTGCCAGTGTGTRAAAAGTTGATGGTTGAATAGCTTGGACTGGCAGTGTGACTTCCACACCCCCACCTTCCTTATACTTTTTCCCTTAGCCAGGAAAATTGTGTACCTTAGAAGGGACTTCAGGTGCAAGAGCAAGCATGATTTCATCATATTGTTTCCCTAGGGGATTTAATTGATTTTTTTTTTTTTTTTTTAGTCTATGTGCCTTAGCAATGCTGGACAAGGTCACACATGTATATATACACACATATGTGCATGGAGTAAATTGTTATTTTGAAGCATATAATGAGATGGTAAAAGCTAGAAGCATGTTCTGTGACAAATTTATGCACGCCCAAGTTTTGCTGTTGCCCCAAATATGTAATTAGCTGTTCAAATRGAATCATTCCTGAATTACATGTGTCTTACTATTTACCTCTTAGGGGWTGCTGCTGAACCTGCATGCAGTTTCTTTAGCTGTGGAGGATAAACTGCTCCACACTGTCTGAAGGACAGCCACTTTGGGACGTGGTGTGTGCTGCCAGCTCGTTCCACGTGTAGTTGGAAGATGAGCAAAATGCTGGCGGGCTCTGGAGCTGAGTAATGGTAATGTCACTGATTTTTCTCATCACTTAGGTGACACATCAGGCACTTGCATTAGACTAGAAGAGCATTTGACCAAAAAGCTCTCTGATTTAAATGTACTAAGTGGGGTCAGTTTGTCATGCTCTTGGGTGAACAGATGCTGGAAAAGGAAATGAAGTGAATTTTGGTCTGCTGCTGGTGGGTGAGCTCAGCTGCTCTGCTTGGGGGTCAGGGTTTGATCTGCTCAGCTGATAGCAGTGCTGCTACCTGAAGTCGAGACRAAGTGGATTCTTCTGGGAAAGATGGTGAGTGTCATCAGGATCATTAACAGGTAATGTGCTGTATGGATAAGCTGTGAAAACAATCACACTGAAAATCAACTTTCCCTGAATTTAGATTTGTTTAAATTAAAAGCGAAATATGCTTAGAGTAGAAAATGTTTTGCTGTTTTTGTTCTTTCATGTATATCTGTTATCTGCAGTAGAAATAAATATCCCTTGGGGAAAGAACTTTGGGATGGTGCAGAGTCTGTTCAAGGGAGAAGCTACTGTCCTACCTACCTACGTAGCTGTGTAGGTTTACATCTGCAGGTTCAACAAAAATTTGGCCTGATTCAGAACTGTTCCTTTCAGCAACCAGTGAGAATGCATGCCCATGTCAGAGCTGCTCACATGGCTGAAGTTGTGGATTAAAGTTTTCAACATAATCTGTGGGCTGGAATTGCATATGGCTTTTAGTTGGGTAGTACTTCAGAGAAGTGTATGCTGCTCGTGTCTCCTTTGAGATTATTTTTTTATTCTCAGTAGTTTAAAAATAACACAAGCCCATTTGWTTCAAGATATGATTTCTTAGCCTGGCTTCTAATTTAGAATTGGTGTAAGGGTAATTTGCTGCTGCCCTGCCTGTAGCTGGTAGTTTCTTGGTSAAAGAAAGTGACTGGCGGGACCTTAGGCACTAGGAGCATTAAGGGAGTTTAGCTGGTAGCTGCATAAAGTGGCAAGTGCATGGCCCAGTGCCAGCACAGACTGTCCCTTCATGATTGAGGCTGATGGATGAACTTTTAAAAGGGTTCTGGTGGCTCAGGAGATGCTGAACAATGTGTTGGTCTTCATGCAAAGGCCTGCAGGTCTCACTACCTAAAATGGCCTAAAAACTTGGCTGGTGTRTGCAAAGCCCAGATGGTACCTCATGCTTGGGTTTGAAAGGGTAATTTYTGTTTGACCAGCATTGCAGGTGCCTTTTTTGTTTTGTCTCTGTTACAATCATGAGGAAGTTTTGCTAGTGTTTCTGCAGATGCTGTTTGGGTGTCTCACCAGAGGGACAGACAAGTGGCTGTCCCAGCCATGTGCCCTCAGCCCCTCACTTTCAAAGTACTGTGGCACTTTCAGCTGTTTTTGCAAATCTAATACCAAATTCCTTTTGGACTGGACATTTGTAAATGCAAAATACAGAAGAAACTGAGAGGTGAGTTGTTTTCTATCATGTTTCTTCTTGCAAATACTCTCTAAGAAAAGGAAAACAAAAGACTGCCTAGGAGGTGTTTCTCCCTGCATCAAAATCATCCTTTGGCAAATTGGGTGGAGAAGAACACAGTGTTTATTTGGTGAGGTCTGYGTAAATGAGAATTAAAGATGGCAAAGATATTTACCTTTTTTTTTTTTTTTACTGAAATTGACTTTTATTTTTGTTCATAGCAACTGAGCAAAGGGTTGGGTTTTGGTACTCCTGGGTTTYCTTCCAGCTTGAAATTGCAAAACCTAAAATCACAAGTGCAAGAAAGAAACAAAAACCATCCAGAGAGGTTGGAGCACTGGAAAGGGAGGAGGAAAGGTATGCAGAAGTGATGGTGCTGTAACTTGCCCTTTGGAACAGAAAATAAAGTTCTTGGTTTGGAGCACTTTCTTTTGAGGCAGAACAAATTATTACACCAAGTTCACTCTTTGAACCACATCCAGTACAAAGTTCATTTGATACATTAAATGCAGCTCCAYATTTGCAAAAATGCTGGATTTGATTTGACTGCATCTTTTGAAAGGCTGCACTGGCAGCAAATAAAATACGTGACAGGCATTTGTTCTGAGAAAAATAACAATTGCTAGTCTTTCAGCCTGAATATCTCAAATGCCAACAGTCTTGGTTCTTCTTCTTTAGTTCTGTTTTTCTTGAAGAATCATTACTTGAACTCTGAAGTATTAAAAGCAGCCAGCTCATCCTGTGTGATAATGGATATTGCTAAAAAATTTGCCTTGGTCGTTGCCAGAACAAAAAACAAAGAAGTGTGTATTGCAAAGATAATCCCCTTCTGGCTCTCCATAAATCTCTCTTGAAAACTGCCCTGAGTACCAGGGTTGTGTGAGGATCTGTGACACGGGCTGTCTCACCAAGCTGACTCCTGTGCTGCACACCACAGCCACGGGTATGGAGTGATGAACTGATATTTCTCAAGGCTGATTTTCCCCCTGTCTGCTGGGTATGTTCACTATGCAGGCATGCACAATGCTGGCAAAAACACTTGAAGCCAGACATATCCTTCCAGGCTTTAAGATCCAGGATGAATCTGAAACTGAGYGTAGGTTTCCTGAAATATGTCCACAAAGGAAGAGCAAGGCTGCTGCAAGAAGAGTTTACCCTACGAAAGTCTATGTAATTTGGAATATCCTAGAAATTCCTACCAAGTAATTGTTTGTTTACACAGTACTAAATAGGTGGAGAGTGTTGGTGATGCCAAATTGGGAGAGAGAATTGGGATTGTTCAGCCKGGAAAAGAGAAGGCTTGGGCTGACCTAATTGTGGCCTTCCAGTATGAGAACTTACAAGAAAGGTGGAGAGGGACTGTTTACAAGAACAYGTAGTGACAGCACAAGGAGGAATGGCTTGAAACTGYGAGCAGGTTTACATTAGAYMCTRGGAAGAAATTCTTTACTGKGAGGGTGGTGAGGCCCTGGCACAGGCTACCCAGAGAAACTGTGGATGCCCCATCCCTGGGATTGTTCAAGGCCAGGYTGGACGAGGCCCTGAGCAGCCTGGTCCAGTGGAAGGTGCCCCTGCCTGTGGCAGGGGGGCTTGGAACTAAATGTGCTTTAAAGTCCCTTCTACCCCRAGTCATTCTATGATCTTCAAGTCACCTGGATTTTGTGCACAAGATTGCATTCTCAGATGGTTATTTGACCATCATCTGGAGAGATTTACTAAAAACTAAACTACTAAAAAACTTGCTTGTTTATGGCAACAAACTAGATAATTACAATCTTGTCTTATTGCATTTGTTGCCAAAAMCAAGAACTTTTAAGTAGCTTAATTTCCCTTCCACATGTTCCTCCTGTCTTGAGGCTAGGTTTCTCCCCATTCCAAGGCTGAAGGATAATGTAGGCAGCATTAATAAATGTACCTGGCTCCTCAAGATCAGGATTATCGTGCAATTCTATTTACCCAAAAGTGAAATAAAAGACTTGGCCAGTGAATTTGTTCTCTGCTCTGTTCCTATCCTGTGACTCTTGGAGCAGAAGAGGCTCTAGAGGCATTAGAGCTAGGTTTGTAGCA